GAGAGTGCGAGCCCCACGCGGTAATGACGGGAAGAGAGCCCAGCCCCCGTTGTTTGCTTGCTCTGATGGAAATGCCTTCAAAGCACCACAGGGCTCTTTGAAAGAAGGGAGGCAGTGCCCCTGTGTTGTGGGGACAGGGGGCAGGGTCTATGGGAGCAGCTCTGGGGGCAAAGCTCCCAGCCCAGCTCACAGCAATGGGTGAACCCAGCCCTGGCCTACGCCTCGGCCCCCGAAGCAAATGGGCTATTCTCAAGTCTGAAACTAGTGGTGAGTGGAAAACACCAAATCTGCCTCCTACTCAGCCACCGAGTATATCAACTATCACATAAGCACATCTATAAAGTATCTGACATCAAGATAAAAAAAAATAAAATGGGAGATTCCACTCTGAACAATTTCTCAGGAATAAAAAGCCCATGGTTTTAGGAGATGCTGACCTCAACGGACTCAATTTTTCTTCCACCCTTCTGGGGCCCATGTCGGCTCAGGCACGGTGCTGGGCACAGAGCTGGGAGACTCCGACCCTGCCCTCACAGGGATCATGAGAACTGCCAGCACACAGAAGCCATGAACTATCACAGGACAAGGAGAAAATAGCCATGTGCGGTAGTCACGTATGTATGTATGCATGTGAGAGTTGGACCATAAAGAAGGCTGAACACCAAAGAACTCATGCTTTTGAACTGTGGTGCTGGAGAAGACTCTTGAGAGTCCCCTGGACAGCAAGAAGATAAACCAGTCAATCCTAAAGGAAATCAACCCTGAATATTCATTGGAAGGACTGATGCTAAAGCTGAAGTTCTAATACTTTGGCCACCTGATGCAAACAGTGGTCTCATTGGAAAAGACCCTGATGCTGGGAAAGATTGAGGGCAGAAGGGAGCAACAGAGGATGAGATGGTTGGATGGCATCATTGACTCAATGGACATGAGTCTGAGCAAACTCCAGGAGAGACTGAAGGACAGGGAAGGTTGTGCTATAGCCCATGGGGTCGCAGAGAGTCAGACATGACTGAGCAACAGGAAAACAAATGGAGAAAGTGTGACAAAGACCGGAAAACTGACACCACACTGTGGCTAAGTTCGCAAGTAAGGAAAGAGCTGGAAACACGCTCCAGCCTGGATTTCAATTTCCAGGCTCTTCCTGTCCACTTAGTCAGGCCATGCCCCTCACTTCCAGGCCACGGGCTTGCTCATGGGCAGTTGCTTTATACACAGTGAACTCTGCAGTCTGAGGTCCCCAGGGGATAAATGTCCAAACAGGGCAGCACAGAAACAGGCAGTCTGTGATAACAGAAGAAACGACCATACACCCTCGCAGCTGTCGGAAAGGAAAAAACTTTCGTGCAATCACTTTAGTTCAATAACATTTTACTCTACTTCAAAAAAAAAAAAAAGCTCCCTCTACTTCTCTGTGCATTGTTGGCAATATATTATTTTAGTTTACTTCCAGAAAATAACAGGTGAAATTTTATATATGTATCTTTAAAGACAAGTACAGACCAGGCACTTCTCCATGACAGGCACTGATTTTAAATGTTTGCTGAAAAGCCACTACCACCACCACTGTGACTATGGCTTCTCCTGCTACCACCACTAACAAGAAGAAAGAGCTAGTGTAGACTGCCCTGCCCCATGCCCGGACCTCTACTGGGTCCCTCACAGATGTTCCCACGGAAACCCTGGAGGCCGGGACTGTCACTCCACTTTTACAGACGAGGGGTCACACCACTTACAAGTGAAGGAGTCAGGATGCAAGGCCAGAATGAGTCCGCTCCTCCCAGGTGAAGGCTTGTGACAGTCACAGTGCCCTGAGCATCGAGTGCCTGCAAGGGCTCCTGAGAAGGCACACAAGCCAGGAACAAAGGGGACAGACTGATATATCCTGAACATCCACTGGAAGCTTGACTTCCCGCTACTTCACACATCTGTGTTGGGATGAACTTGATTAAAAATAGGTTCCCAGGTCCACCCCACAAATTATGGTGGAGGTATGAGCCAGGAATCTCATTCATAACAATTACCCCCAAGTATTGCTGATTCAGGATATCATAAATCACATCATCGGGGTCAATGACTTGCAAACTCATCTAATGGGACCTACACAAGAGGTCACCCATTTGACATCACCACCAAGAACATACGTGTACACACACTGGCATATAAACACACTGAAACACAGAACCAAAGGTCTCAGAAAACAATACTTATTACCTTGTTATAGGTAAAGAGTGCTGATTAATTTCTACTTCATTCTATTTCATTTTTAAGATACACTACATTCAAAAAACTAAGATCGTGGCATCCAGTCCCATCACTTCATGTCAAATAGATGGGGAAACTGGAAACAGTGAGAGACTTTATTTTCTTGGGCTCCAAAATCACTGCAGATGGTGCCTGCCACCATGAAATTAAAAGACGTTTGCTCCTTGAAAGAAAAGCTATGACAAACGTAGACAGTATATCAAAAAGCAGAGACACTACTTTGCCAACAAAGATCCATCTAGTCAAAGCTATGGTTTTTCCAGTAGTCATGTATGGGTGTTAAGAGTTGGACCATAAAGAAAACTGAGCGCTGAAGAATTGATGCTTTTGAACTGTGGTGTTGGAGAAGACTCTTGAGAGTTCCTTGGACTGCAAGGAGTTCAAACCAGTCAACCCTCAAGGAAATCAGTCCTGAATATTCATTGGAAGGACTGATGCTGACGCTGAAGCTCCAATACTTTGGCCACCTGGTGCAAAGAACTGACTCACTGGAACAGACCCTGATGCTGGGAAAGATTGAAGGCAGGAGGAAAAGGGGACAACAGAGGATGAGATGGTGGGATGGCATCACCAACTCGATGCACATGAGTTTGAACAAGCTCCAGAGTTGGTGATGGACAGGGAAGCCTGGCGTGCTGCAGTCTATGGGGTCACAAAGAGTCAGACACGACTGAGCGACTGAACTGAAGAGTTGCAATCCACTGCACTAAGTTCACAGCCCTCTAATGGATCATGACCTGGGGTCACAGCCCTCTAATGGAGCATGACCTGGGGGCTGAAAAAACACTGACCTGGGTGTTCTATACTTATTCTCTAGATTAATCTTCACTATCTGGAGAAGTCAAAGAAAGTAACATATCTCCATTTCACAGAGGAAAATACTTTTGAACTGGGTCAAAATGATGGGTCAGTGATGCTAAGCAATTTGTCCAAGATCTCAGAGGTGGCTATGGGGTCTGAACTTTTAACATGCTAGAACCAAACTTGGTTTTCTCAAGTTTTCCTTTCACAGAATTTGCCCAGTGCTGTTTAAAAAAAAAAGAAAGAAAGAAATGGGTTCAGAAATGTCACTGACTAACTTCCTTGACCAGGTCCCCATGTTTCCTTGATGGCAAGACACCCTTGACTCTGAGTCATGCTGCCTGGTCACTGATGGGAGGGAGGAGGTGGTGGGAAGCAGTTACACAGTCGCCTGTACAAGCACTGAGCCAAGGTCTTTACTCAGAGCGCTCCATTTAAGGTCCCAATAATCCAAGAAACCTATGTACAGATACAAAGACATACGTATGTGTATATGTATATTTTGCGTGTAGAGGTATGTGTGATGCATGTGTGCACACATGTGTGGGTGTGTATAATGCATGTGTGGATACATCTGTGCATACACGTGAATATATGTGTGTGTATAAAGAGCCAATATGCTTTTTAATACATATTTCACAGAAGGCTACCAAGTCTCAGAGAGGACAAGCGATTGGTCCAGTGTCACACAGCCTGTGCGATTACTGAAGATATCTGAATCCAGTTATCCAACCCCAAAGCACATGCTCTTTATACCCACTAAACCCAAAACACCCTGACTTTGCCCTTGGTAACACACTTCCCGAGTGCCAGTGATTTCAGGCCAGGAAACGGAGGTGCCAGATCAAGTTTCTGAAGCCTTGTCTGCGTAGAGAAAGGGACGCGGTTGGAGCAGAAGCACAGCTGGGCCAGGTGTGCCTCCCTTACAGCTTGGAGAGTCTCGAATCGCTCTCCAGTGCCGGGCTCTCAAGATAAGAGGAGCATATGCAAAAATAAACACTCACTCACTGTGTTACAGAATCACCCACCGAAGAATCAGACAGCTTTTACCACCATGAGACTATTTAACAGCACCTTGAATTAACATACCACTTTTTAAAAAATGCTTTGCAGACATTCTTTCGCAGGGTCTCCAAGGAGTGACGTGATAGGATCATCAGTGATCGTCAGTGCTGACTGTGCTCTCACTATGATTCCGAGTGTCCAGCACTCGGCAGGCATCATCTCACTTAACCTCTCAACAGCTTTCAGTGGTGGCTATTAGTATTACGGGCCCTGTTATTAATGGTCCTTTAAACCATCATTTAAGAGAGCGGTTCCCCAACCATTTTGGGACCAGGGATGGGTTTCATGGAAAACAAAGTTTCCACGGACCGGGGCTGGGGAGGGGATGTTTTCGGGATGATTCAAGCACATCACGTTTATTATGCCGCCGCTGCTCTACAGGAGGTGGAGTTCAGGCGGTCCTGTGAGAGGGGGGAGTGGCTGGAAACACAGCTGAAGCTTGGCTCCCTGGCCCGCCTCTCACCTCCTGCTGTGCAGCCCAGCTCCTAACAGGCCACGGACTGCTACAGGTCCATGGCCCGGGGGGTTGGGGGCCCCTGATTTAAGAAACCTTTGCTTTAATTCTACTCTGTAGATCTTTCTTCTATAGGCTTTCTCTGATGCTGAAAAATCTGCATAGGAAGCCAATGTTTTCAACGGGATCGTCTTCCCAACAGACGCGAGGCTCTCCCTGTGAGAAAGGCCCTGGGGTGAAGGAGGGCCTCTGTTAACGTGAAGGGCCTGTGTCGTGAGAAGGGCCTCTCCGTTCTCCGGGGTGGATGCTCACACACCGGGCTCCCGAGGGAGCAGGGGCACCTCTGTGCGCATCGCCGAGAGGAAGCGGGGAGCACCCAGGGGAGACGGGGCTGCCACTAGGGCGGGCTACTTACCAGCTCAGTGTGGACTTTAAGATGTGCCTGCAGCTTATATTTATCTGGAGTCGAGTAGTCACAGCCGTCAGTGGGACACTTCAGCAAGATGTTACTGTGTTTCTGAATTACATGGCGTTTAAGGCAGTTTTTGGTGATGGAAGAATAGTGACACTGGGAGCAATAATACAGATGTTCCCGGGTGTGGGTGCGGACATGCATGTCAAAATGCACTTGGTACCAAAAAAGTTTGCCTAAAAAAATATTTTCACATGAGAACAAGGAAGTTTCTTTTATCCTGAATTTGATTTTTTTTAAATTAGTATTATTATTATTTTATTTTTTTAACGACTATCTTCCTTTCCCTCTCGTGCTTGTCCGGGTCACCCTTCACACTTTGTACCACATCTCTGTCTGGAAATGACTTTTCAAAGGTGGCAGGTGGCAAAAATCAAGGGTGCTGATACTACTTCTGCATGACATCAGTGCGGGAAGAGGAGTAAGGGAGGGTTTATCGAGGACCAGTTACGGTGCCACGTGTGTTTATGCACATGGGTGACATCACCAGGCTCTAAACTCTGCCGGCACCTGGGCCATCTCCCGTGGGTCCTGCCCGCTCTCAGGAGACCCCGAGGCCACGCTTCCACCGTGAGCTGCGAGGGATGCACTCAGCGTCTCCCTACAAAGAGCTGCCGTCACTCCCATTAACACCTCTCTGCCCATCTAGGCAACGGCCACAACTTACTACACCTGGACTTTTAAACTTCTCATGCGCCAGAAGAAAGGTGCCTCTTGGCTAAAGCTCAGGTGGGGGCCGCGGGATAAACCTCCGCCTTGCAGGCCTGGCCGAGCCAGCGGGTTTGGCTGTACCAGCATCCTAGCTGCCTTCACACACTTCACAGGCTACACTGCACCACGTGGCACCACTACTATCTACCCAGGACGGCGAGCTCACTTATAAGGTGTTCTTCGCAAAGAGACACGAGCTCAACTCAAACAGGAGGTGGACCCGCAGCCAGGTGGCTGGATGGGCTGCGGGGAAGAGAGCCCCCCAGCCTCGCGCCCCGGCCCCCACCCCTTACCACAGTATTCACACTCCAGGTCCCCGTACACTTTCCGGATCCTCTCACACAGGACGGTGTTCATCCGCCTCTTCTGCAAACTGTCCAGGATCTTCATGAAGGCAGTGAGGCCGGCCCGGTGCTCGGGGGCGGGCGCGCAAGAGGCAGGCTGGCACGGGGCCGCCTCCCTGCCACCAGCTCCAGGGGGAGGGTCTGAGGCCTGAGCTGGGTTGGACCTGAGACCTCTGCTGGGATCTGGGCCGTCGCATGGGGAGGCTGCCACTGTCTGCCCCTCGGCCGGGGGGCTCTCGGCGCTCGGGGTCTCGGGGTTTGCTTCCATGCCTTTGGCCTTGGATAACAGAGGTGCCACGTCCTGGCCCTGAGTCGGGGTGGCGCCTCCCTGCTGGGTGTTGCCAGTCTTCTCGGGAGCAGCAGCTGGAGCCTCAGCCGTGGGGGGATCGCTCTTCATCAAGAACTCACTGGAAAGCCCCGCGTGCGGACGGAGGTCCGGGGACACAGCAGAGGCCGCCAGCTCGCTGGGTGGAGGGGCCGGGGCGGCGCCGTCGGGCTGGGCCGCAGCCGAGCGCACTGGCGGGGCGGGCACCTCTGCGGGGACCCCGGGCTCCACCGCAGGCCGCGCCTCCCCGGGGCCGGCCGCCTCCTTGGGCACATTCACCCCCTGGAACACGAACTCCTCTTCTGCCAGTTGCAGCTGGCCGCCCAGGGCCTCCTGCTGGATGTCCCCGCCGGGCTCCAGGAGGCAGAAGCTCTGGTTGATGGAGCTGGTGAAGACCAGGGTCTCCTGGGCGGCCCCGTGCGCCTCCTTGATGTGCGCGCGCAGGCGGATGGAGCTGACGAACTTCTTGGGGCACAGGGCGCACACGTACACGAACGGGTGCTTCCGGACGTGCAGCTCCAGCGCCTGGTACTTGGTGGCGCCGTGGCCGCAGAGCTCGCAGGCGAAGGGCCACTTGTCGCCGTGGACCAGCATGTGGCGGTCGCGGTCCAGCTCGTTCTTGAACTTGCGCTCGCAGATGTGGCAATCGTAGAGCAGCTGCCGCTTGCCCTCCCTCGTCATCAGGCACAGCTCGTCCAGAGCCTCCTGCACCGGCTTGTCCTGCGGGTCGTGCGCGTCGCGGATGTGCTTGATGAGGTTCTTGACGTCGGAGTACTTCTTCTTGCAGAAGCGGCAGTGCTGCTTGATCTTCTTGTGCACGCGCTCCACGTGCACCTTGAGGTGGCCCTTGCTCAGGCAGGTGAAGGAGCAGCAGTCGCACGCGAACTTCTCGCCCGTGTGCTTGCGCAGGTGCACGTTGAGGTTGGCCTTGATGGCGCTGGCGTAGCTGCACTGGGAGCACTTGTAGGGCTTCTCGTTGGTGTGGATGCGCAGGTGGGCCTGCAGCGAGTGCTTGAACTTGAAGACCTTGTTGCAGTACTCACAGGTGAAGATCTTGAGCTGGGTGGGCCCGAGCCTAGGAACAGAGGGCAGCATGGTTACCGGTGGAGACCCTGCACCTTCCCCATGCCTCCCCCCGCCCCCTTCCTTCTAGGTGCCGAAACACCCAAGGCTTCAAGGTGAGCTAGCAGACCCTGGCCCGAGGATGGGGGAGGCATTCATTCATCAGCAAGCAAGACTGGACGGTTTGCAGTCCACAAATGATAGTCACCAAAGAGCTGCACCTTGTACCAGGGACAGGAGCTGGCAGGTGAGCCCAGCGGGTGGGTGAGGCTTTTTCTCCTTCCAGGGGGGTCCTCAGAAACACAATGACCATTTAGTGCCATTCATCAGGCACCATTAAGCTGTACCCACAGTAACTGTAGGGCTTCCCTGGTGGCTCAGTGGTAAGAACCCGTCTGCCAATGCAGATGACACAGGTTCGATCCCTGGGTCGGGAAGATCCCCTGGAGGAGGGCATGGCAACCCACTCCAGTACTCTTGCCTGGAGAACCCCATGGACGGAGGAGCCTGGCGGGCTACAGTCCATGTGGTCGCAAAGAGTCGGACAGGACAGAGGCAACTTAGAAAACTCACACTGTAACTGTAAAGTCTATTTATGGAACTAGTCATACAACTATGTTTGACCAACACAGGTTCCTCTATGTTTTAAATGAAAAATATTTAAACAGATTGCAGCCTGTACAGATTGCAGAGGGTACAAGTCTCTTGCTGTAATTAAGACATTCAGATCTGAAGGTCGGTACTATGCCTGCATGCTAAACCCAAGGCTAATTTAAGGAAACAAATCTGGATATTTCTCAAATGACAGAGATATCCAGAAGGTGATCATTTTACTTAGTGGAAGAAACTCTGGGTTCATAGTGTTAATTAAATAAACAAATCACGGGTATTTCCTTCTCGAATGCAAGGTCTAAATGGTCTTAGGAAAATCTCTGGTTCTGATTTTTTTTGTATTATTACACGGATACCTGGTTCTGATTTTTTTTGTATTATTACACGGATACCTGGCCAGGCCCTCAGTTCTGCCCCTCACCAAGGGGATGAATTGGAAGACGTGGCCGGGCCATCTGCACTGGGCTCTCGGGTGCGAGCTGACTCACTGAGTTGTGATGTCGTGTGATTCCTATCACATTATCTCACCCCGAATGTCCTCTTATTCAGTTCAAGAGGCACTCTCACCCACTGCTTGAAAGCATTCAGGCAGAATTTTAAAAGATCAGACCCCTTGATCCAGTTATCCACTGGAATCTATCTGCTGGGAATCTATCAAAAGAAAGAATACAAAATTCAAATGAAGGTGCTCACTGTGCCATTTTTCACTATAGTTAGAAGTGGAAAGCTGCTTGAAGATTCCAACATAGAGAACTAATTTGCACATTTTTTTTTCATTCATTCATTTGAAAAAGTGTTCCAGGCACTGGGGACACAATGGGGACAAAAGCAAACACACTCCATGCTCTCCCGGAGCTCACCTTCTAGAGGAAGCACTGGGCCAGTTTGATAACCATATAAATGAGCAAATAGGACCACCAGCTCCCTGCTGTGATGGAAAAAGACAGGATGCTCTGGGAGCCCAGGCCAAGGAGGACTGAGCTGTCCAGGGGACAGGGCAGGCTGCCCTGAGTTGGGACATTTGAGCAGGCAGCTGAAGTATAAACAGGAGTTAACCAAGCCGGGGAATGGGAGGGGGAAGGGTGGCATCCAGGAAGAGGAAGAGGTCAAGAGAGGTCAGGGAAACAGAAAGCACCCAGATGGGGGTTCCCTGGGGGTACAGTGGATAAGACTCTGGGCTTCCACGGCAGGAGGCAAGGGTTCCATCATTGGTTGGGAAACTAAGATCTCAAATGCCACATGATGCAGCTTCAAAAAAAAATAAGACCCAGGAACAGACTTTCAGACACGAGCGGTGGGGAGGAAGGAGAAGGTGAGATGAATGGAGAGAGAGGCATGGACGCGCATCCACTATTATATGTAAAGCAGACAGTCAGTGGAATTTGCTACATGAATCAGGGAACTCAGACCGGGGCCCTGTAACAACCTAGAGGGGTGGGAAAGGGTGGGCGGTGGGAGGGTGTTCAAGAGGGAGGGGGCAGATGTATACCTGTGACTAATCCATGTTGATGTGTAAGTAAGTAAGTGTTAGGTCGCTCAGTCATGCTGGAATCTGCCACCCCACGAACTGTAGCCCTCCAGTCCTCTCTGTCTGTGGGATTCTCCAAGCAGGAATACTGGAGTGGGTTGCCATTCCCTTCTCCAGAGGATCTTCCTGACCCAGGGATCGAACCCAGGTCTCCTGCATTGCAGGAAGGTTCTTTACCTTTTGAGCTAGAGGAAAGTCCATGTGGATTTATGGCAGAAACCAAAGCAATATTCTAAAGCAATTATCCTTTGATTAAAAATAAATAAAATTTTTTAAAAAAGGACCCAGATGGCTGGAGCAGATGCTGGAGCACAGAGGACCAGAGGGAGAGGTGGCTCTATAGGCCTAGTTCTCCTAACAACAATGTGAGGCCTTAAAAGCTACAACCAAAGGGGCATTTTTACAAAAAGCGCACTGGCTGCAGTGTAGAGAGCTGAGTACGGGGTCACAGGAGAGCCTCATGATATTACCGCATGTCACTACAAGGCATAGTTTGTGAATGATTTTAGTAACAAAGGGAAGTAAGTATAATGTGGTTAAATACTAAAAGCAGGATACAAAATTGCATATAAAATAAACTCAGGTTTATAAAATATATGGGCTGAAAAAAGGCTGAAAGGAAATAACATTAAATAATATTAACGGTGGTTATCTTAGGGAAGTGAGATTACGACTGATTTTTTTTCCTTACAGTTTTCCTGACTTTTGTCATGTAAAAAGCCTCTTTCATAACTATTTTATAATTTAGACAATAAAATATTAATAGAACGCTTGACAACAGGAATACAGCCTCCATCTACTGATTAAATATTGAGTATATTTACCTGCAACCAGATGAGCATGGAGTTTTAAAACCCTCCCCAACAGACCTTGAAATATTATGAGGAGTCTACAAATCAAGCTGTGTTGAAACAAGGGTGGTCTTCAAAATTAACTCTATCTCAGTTTTGCCAAAGGAGTCCATATTTTTACAACTTCACTGATACATTCAGTTGCTCACATTTGCGAAGAGAGGACTGAGGCTAGAAATTAATGAGGCGCCGCAGAAGACACGATGTTATAATTTAACAAGACCACTTTCCAAAGATGTGATCATTTTATGCCACCACTAAACTGGGCCAGGTTCTTTTAGACAGTCTCCTGCTGGTGCTGAGAGGCTCAGAGGCAAAATCACTTGTGTCCAGCCCCAGCAGAGCGGAAGCCCCTGTCTGTCCTCGTCTTCCTCCCCACGCACCCCCGCGGTGCCTGGGACACAGAGGTGTTTGAGCTGTTGAACTGAAGTCCAGCAGAAAGCTCTAGGGGCTCCCCAGGTGGCTCAGTGGTCACGAGCCCACCTGCCAATGCAGGAGACGCCAGTTCGGCCCCTGGGTTGGGACAATCCCCTGGAGAAGGGCGTGGCAACCTTCACCAGTATTCTTGCCTGAAGAATCCCATGGACAGAGGAGGGCTACAGGCCATGGGGTCACAAAGAGCCACATACAGCTGAAGCGACTGAGCACATGCAGGAGGATCTAGAGCCAACCCAGGACTGTCTGGCACTAAATCTTATGCTCTCATCCAGAACGCCTTCTTCCCCCTTTTCCAGAAACAGGGAACCCCCTGTCTGGCATCTTCCTTGTCTTTCCTCTCAGCCTGGAAAACATGTGCAGAGCTCAGGCGATGGGAGTTTGCTGATCCACGTCAGAAGGTACATACCATGGCCAAGACTGTGACCACGGGGAGGGTATAGGTGGTCAGGCTAGCTGTGAGACATCAGTTCACCCAGTGTGTTTGGAGGGCAGTTTTCAATGTAGATTAAAGTTTTAACCCTCATATCCTTTAAGACAGCAATTTCAGGGACTTTCTGGGTGATCCAGTGGCTAAGACGTCAGGCTTCCGATGTAGGGGGCTGGGGTTTGATCCCTGGTCAGGTACCTAGATCCCACATGCAGCAACTAAGACCAGCTGCAGTCAAATGAGTATCTTTTCCAAAAAAAGAGCAACGTCAATTCTAGCGACTCATCCCAGAAGTCCTGAAGACTCACTGAAAGAGCCTTGAGCACAACATTTCCTGCCAAGCAAAAACTGACTCTAGTAAACTAGAGAATCCACACAATAGCAAAAGCACTTTAAAAAAATTATCTACTAAAAAGGAAAAAGTCAAACATGGTAAGTTTTTAAAAAAAAAAAGGTTGATAACAGTGCCTTTGGTGTTTTGTGTTAGGAAAAAAATAACAAAATTAAAGTGCTGTAGTTTCGTATATCATGAAAAAATTATGGTGGCCTCTGAACCACGCTGTCTGTAGAGGTGACCTCAACCACAAGAGGCGAGATGGTTACTGCAGCTTCGTGTTACACAGACTCTGGAAGTTTCTACAGGACACTTGTGTTACTTACAAAAGTAGGGGGGAAATAAAGATTGCTTTTTTTTCCTTATAAATTGTGCAGCTATAAAAACCAGCAGACTTACAAAGTAAGGCCTTGTTCACACCACTTTTTATTCAGATGAAGCATACCTGGAGTAAAATGCTCCACCTTCATTAAACCAACTGGCGCTGAGTTTCCCAAGCCAGCTGCTCTGCCTCGCATCCCACAGAGGCTGCTTGGGCTCGGCCAGCACACCACGAAGCCATCATGGAAGGGCTGGTTCTTCGGTTCAAGTTAAGAAACCAGAACGCCTTACCGATAGCTTAGCGGAGTCCTGGTAAGTGCAAATGCTGCTCTCCCACCCTCCGAGGTGGCGGCTGGGGTCACACACAACAGAAGATGCGTTACCTGCTGGACTTCATGGGCTGCTCGTAGGCCGTCTGCTGGATGGCGTACTCCTGGTACCCCCTCCGGGGCGCCAGGTCAGCTGCTGTGGCCTCGGGGTCTGCGGCTCCTGTTTCTGGGGGCCCGGCCTCCACTGGAACAATCTTGGTAGCACCTGAGAGGGAGGCACAACTCGGCGAGTAATAAAGAGGCGCCTCGAGGCCCCTGACTCCCACGCCCGCCCCAGTGCAGGCAGCACAGCCTGGGGAGTGTGTCTCTTTGCTGTGTGGCACCCGTGCGGGGGGCGAGTGCTCCTTCAGCTCACACATGTAGCGTGTGTGTGTTGGGGTGTGTGTCTGTGTGTGTGTTTCGGGGGAGTTATCCAATAATCCATCAAAACCTTCTTGTGAGATACATTTTCACTTGATCTCTTTATTAAAAGGGCTTCCCTAGTGGTTTAGTTGGTAAAGAATCTGCCTGCGGTGCAGGAGACCTGGGTTCACTCCCTGAGTCGGGAAGATCTCCTGGTGAAGGAAACGGCAGCCCACTCCAGTATTCTTGTCTGTAGAATCCCACGGACATGGGAACCAGGCAGGCTACAGTCCATGGGGTCACAAAGAGTCGGACACGACTGTGTGACTAGCTTTCTTTTTTCATTATTGAAAACCCAAAACACAAGACAGATACACATATACACGTATGCTTCCCTGCAAGATTTCACAGCTCCTCATGTGTTAAAACTTTGAGTAAGCGTCAAACAGCATCAAGACAGAAAGGAGCAGTGGACTCAATGGTGAGCAGGAATCTCCGCTGTCTGGGATCAGGTCCCAAACAGGACATCAGCTCCCACCCTCAAGGCCCCTGTGTCCACCCTGTGACGTGAACGGTCTGGGGTGGAAAACTCAGAGGTCACCTTTTATTCAAGTCTACGATGTGAAATGATCAAAGACCGTTTATAGAAGTGTGTGTGTGCACATGAAGAGCAAAGAAAATTAATTATACTTTTCACCACCTGCCCCCCACTTACAGAAATCTCAAATACTACCATCCTTTTTTAAGAAATCATTATAGAAACTTTCTCGAGAGATGGCTAAACACAGGAACCTCTCTCCTGGGGTTTCCATTTCCTGGAATAACACTTGTCTGAAGGACAGTGAAACCACTTCAAGTCGCATAATCTTATGTGGCTTTTTTCTCTACTGAGTACCTCACCCTACCGTGAAGTATTGGGTTGGCCAAAAAGCTAGTTTGGGGTTTTCTGTGACATGTTACGGGATATAAAATATACATATTATACGTATATAATATGAAAAGGTATATATTTAGCGTTTTCATTTCAGTTTCTATTAGCATTGAAAACAGATGCTTTAAAAGGCTCTCAGTTCAGTTCAGTTGCTCAGCTGTGTCTGACTCTTTGCAACCCCATGGACTGCAGCACGCCAGGTTCCAGCTGACCTCAAAATCCTAAACTTGATTTTTTTAAAATTTATTTAACAGCTGTCACCCCAAATGCACAGGGGGAAAAAAAATTATTATACTTTAGCATCTACTATCCTAAACTGCTCTTTGTCTAAGGTATCTTCTCCTGGAGGAGGCCTTTTTAAAAGGGGGTAATATATCCACTGGTTACTTTATGTGAAAAGAAAAGGAGATAGAAATCTCTAGTACTATAAAATAAATGATGAACCTACTAAAAAAATGAAAAAAAAAAAAACCTGGAAGAAATTGTGTGGAGGGTTTTGGCACCGTCTGCTGTGAGTCATCTTACGCTCTGGCCGGGGCAGGAAGAAGGAGCATGGACATGCAGGAGAGGGTCTTGGGGGTGCTGGGGGGCCCCAAGGAAAGAACCGCTCTCCAGGGCCACTGCTCCTCTGAATGGCTGCTCACATGAGAGCACAGGCCGTAGGCAGCAGCCGCGCGAGCAGCCCTCACACCCTGACCCCTGGCCGCGGCAGATTAACTGTGGCCCGAGTCACCAGGTAACTCCGCCGAGAGCCCCGCAGCAATCACAGCCCCCACCCAGAGGTTCCTGCCGCCCCCCCCCCCCACCGCCGTGCGCACCTGGAATCGCCTCGTGTGCCGTTAACACCACGCTGATGATGGGCTTCTTGGCCCCGGACATCTGCGGGGCCTCCTTTCCCGAGCAGACCTTCTGGATTTTCTCTGCTCTCTGTGTCCGCGGCCTCTTCGGGGCCTTTTCTCGATCATCTTCCTTATACTTCTTCTCCAGTTCAAGGTCAGATTCATTACCTAAGGAGCAAATACCAGGATGTATAAAATACCCTTTTTATACCAGTGATGGAGTCGGGGAGGGCACAGAACCATTTTTATGGGCAGACAGTAAAGGGGATATACCTGGGTGATAGAAACACTGGTTCCTGGACTTCCCTAGTAGTGCAGTGGATAGGAATCTGCCTGCCCAATGCAGCAGACACGGGTTCAACCCCTGGCCAGGGAAGATTCCACAGGCCTCAGAGCAACTAAGCCCATGCAGCACGACTACTGAGCCTGCACTCCCGGAGCCTGGCGAGAAGCCACACGCTGCAGCTAAAGAGCAGCCCCCATCCTCCACTCTAGAGAAAGCACACAGCAACCAAGGCCCAGCGCAACCGAGGAATCAGTTTATAAAAGAAGCACTGATCCCCAGCTAAGTGGCCGCGGTACCACTTCAGGGGTCACCTCCGCTTCCTCGGTCTTGCCTCCAACTCTGAACACCATTCCCCCGGCACAGGGCCCACTGCGGACACAGCAGGCATGGGCCCTCCCCCTGCTCTCAGGAAGCCCACCGGACCTCAGAGTCATCAGCCAACCACCTGCTGGGAAGGCACGGCGGTCTTCTTTACACAGCCTAAGAAGGCATGCGCGTGCTCAGCATCCAGGTATTAGATGCCTTCCATGTGCCAGGCGTGGTGGACACCAAGGCTGACGGGGCACAGACCCAGAGCCCACCCTCGAAAGCCCTGCCGTCAGGTGGGAGAGACAGACGGGGCAGTCCGCTGTGTGCCCACTGAAGCGAGAAGGCGTCTCGGATGACCGAGGGGAGTGACGGAAGATTCTACCCGAGGCGTCAGACAAGCCACTCTGGGCAGGCAGCCCTTCGGTCAGTGTGAAGAGCAAGCATTTCTGAAGCCGTGGACGGGGCTGCAGGGAACAGGGGCGGAGGAGGTGTGGGGGGCGGAGGGCACAGGAGACTGTGCTGTGGGGACCAGTGGTGGGCTCAGTGCTAAGGAAGGGGGCGTAAAGATGAGGAGGAATGCTTGGCTGGGCACCCTGCGGGGCTAACTTGGTGAAGAAGCTGGCAGGGAGGAACAGAACCAGGGAAGGGAGTGAAATCGAGGGCCTCAAATACCCATAGGACGTGGGGATCTGTCCTTCTACGAGCGGGGTGGGGGGTGAACGCCAATGCCCGGGGAGACCACCCAGGAGCATGAGTGAGGGAGGCTGGCCGGGGGGACGGTGGCGACACAGCACAGCTCCGGCCCTGGTCAGGGCAGAATCACAGGACACACACACGCCACGGTATCAACGTATCAACAGTGGGACTCCCCACACTGCTTTGCAGTCATCTGTCTGGAAGCCTCATCTGTGCCATGACCTCTGGGAGCTTGGGGCTGTGTCTTCTTTTTACTGAGCCTGAGGACCTAACCTTACAACACAAGGAAGACCTGCTCTGCGCATGAAGCAATGAACCGATGGGTAGAGATCAGCAACAGACTTCGCCAGAGGAAGAAACATCTAGCAGTTAGAGCCACCCAGGGCCTCCCAGGTGGCTCAGTGGGTAAAGAATCCGCCTGCGGTGCAGCAGATGCAGGAGACCCAGGTTCGATCCCCAGGTCGGGAAGATCCCGTAGAGGAGGACATGGCAAGCCACTCCAGCATTCTTGCCTGGAGAATCCCCACGGACTGTAGCCCGCCAGGCTCCTCTGTCCGTGGGGTCACAAAGAGTGGGACAGGACTGAAGTGACTGAGCATGCATATAAGCAGAGCCGTCCCGGGAGGGACGGGTGGCTTCAGAGACGCGTTTCTCTGGAGGGTTTCGAGGGGCTTCACACAACAATCGTGATGCCCTGGGAGAAACTGGACCACACGGCAGCGGGCGGGGTGGGGCGTCCAATCAGACAAGCCCTGCATCTCTGGATTCTGAGACCCTCCCAACAGGGCAGTGGGCCTGCAGAAGAAAGAGGGTGGAGGACCGGGGAGACCCAACCCTGCTGGAACCCGAGACAAGTTACCCCGCAGGCGATGTGGACACGCTCACTTGTATCTGCAGGACGATTCCTGCATGTGGCTCAGAAAGGCCAGGTCCACCCGGGGCCTGGCTCCACCCCACCTCTCCCATTTCTCTGCCTGTTTGCTCGTAACAACCCTCTCCTCCATCTGATGCAATACTCATATCAAGTACCGCTCTTTTGAAACAGAATTTCTCTCACACCAAGTTCAGCAATGATCCCCTCGTACTTAATAAAACATTCTCTTTGCAGGTTTTTTTTCCCCCTCTTGTTCTCCAATTTTTCTCAGGGTCCATCTTCAAACAAAACATCATTTCCACACAAAAGAAAGAAATATTTACTTGGAAATTATCCCAGCAGTGCAGAATGTATTTGTTCTTTACCGGCCACAGTTCATTCAGAAGATACGTGCAGAATGCCAGGCCCTATTCTAAGCACTTGGGACACCGCAGGGTACAAGACAGAGACCCCTGCCTCCTGGAGTTTATGTGCTGGTGGGAAAAGACAGACAATACAGCTAAAACATAGCAAGTCAGTTACATAATATATCAGAAGGTAATTTTAAAATTTCTCATTTTACCGGTGCCCAGTGAAAGAGCACAGGCATAAACAAGTCTGATTTCTTTTTTTGAAACGAGAACTGCTTGGGCCTCGCTGGTGGCTCAGTGGTAAAGAATCCGCCTGCCAGTGCAGGAGACATGGGTTTGATTCCTGATCCCCGAAGACCCCACATGCCTCACAGCAACAAAACTTGTGCACCACAACTACTGTGCCCATGCTCCAGAGACTGTGCTCTGCCACTAGAGAAGCCCCATGATGCAAAGTCCACACCCTGCAACTAGAGCGTAGCCCCCACTCGCTGCAACGAGAGGAAAGCCCTTGCAGCAGTGAAGACCCAGCACAGTCAAAAGGCTCTAACAAAGGTGCTCTTCAGAACACAAGGTGCTTGGGTGAACTGCCCTCATCTGTCAGACTTCACATCGCGCCGCATCACCAGCCGAATCCAGTCATGATCCTCGCTGCACCAGGATGTGCTTTTCAAACATTTTTTTCTTTTTTGCAGCAGAACATTTTGAGTGAGTTCTTTAAGCAATTTCAATATACCTAATGAAAAGGCGTGGCTTCTCTGGTTAAAGAGGGTGTGGTCCAGACTAGCCCCTCCCCGCCCCCCTGCCCTACCACCTCATCCTCCCAGCCCTCCAATCCTCAGCCACAAGTATCTCCAACAGCCCTGGAAACAGCTTTAAAAGGAGTGGATAAGGATGTAGGAGGGATGGTGTCCGATACTTCCTGCAGCACAGTCACCGCTCTGAGCCGCCGTCATAGAGTTGTGGAATGTATGAGCTACACTCCAGCCTCTGCCTTCCAGCTGGACCAGCTCTGAACTCGCTGAACCCAGGGTCCGAATCCACAAAGTGAGTGGCTGTGAGGCTCAGGTCTGGGAAGGTCGCAGAGCCCTCTGTCACGTGGGGAGTCATGCTGTCGCCCCCCCGCCGCCAGCGGCATGTCTGGGGTGGTGACGTCATGCCTGAAGACACACTTGTGCGGCTCAGGGCTGGGCTGGGACCACAGCTTCCGGGGGGTCCTGTCGGTCTGTGCAAACAGGAGAGGCGCAGGGAAGGCTGCACCCCCAGCCTGGTGTGTTCCGTGGAGTCGCTGATGTTTGGGAAAGACAGTGTTTAATTTCTTGACATCTGTGCATCATTGCTCTTCAACCCCAGCACATTGGCCTAATTCTTTATATTTCATCTCCTTTTGAGAAGATGGCGTTTAAAAACCGATGACGCTGCAGCGTGAAAGCAGGAGTTCCCAGGCGGGTGCACAGACCCCACTCTTACGACAGTGCCTGGGTCCTCACATGCAGGGAGGTGTCCAGATTTCAGACGGAGGCAGCACAGCTTCAGGAGCAGAGACTCGGCAGAGGCCCCATTGAAGGGTAGTGAGCAGAAAACCCAGTGTCCCCATGTTCTGCAGAGCTCCCGCTTGTCCCTCCAGGCCGACCCTCATCGGGTAATGAGCAGAAAACCCAGTGTCCCCATGTTCTGCAGAGCTCCCGCTTGTCCCTCCAGGCCGACCCTCATCTTTCTCCACCAGCTCCTGGAGGCTGACCCGTAATGGGTCACACGGGGGCTCCACTGCTCCTGGCTTCCCACGGGGTTTGGCCGGTGGAGTCACCAGAAGCTGGGAGGGGGGAGGTTTGGGGGAGAGTGAATGAGTTAGTTCTGGTCACACAGTGAGTTTGGTAGAGTGTAGGGTTCCAAGGAGGTGTTATCCACCTGAGTGGGGGTCTGCAGGCAGGCCTTTTGTGGGTGAGGGCACAAGTGGGTGATGATGAGAGGCTGGGATGGAACAGACACGCACACACACACACTCCCCCCAACCCTCCCTTAACTTGGATGAGCCTGTCTGACTTTACTAAGAAAAACGAAGCTCATCTGATACAAAAGCTCTCAACTAAGCTCCTTTGATCTCAGAATCTCCCTGCTCTTCGCTCACCACCCCCTCCTGTCCTAGAGGAGCTTCTCTGGGAGGGAAGTTACTCCACTTGCCAAACCCCACACTCTCAGAAGTGTGGGTCGGGCGGGGTCGGGGAATCTGTGTCTGTGTTCACCCTCTTAACTCCTCTTGGAACCTCTCAGGGTCCCCAACACGTAATAGCATCCAGGCAAGGCAAGCTGACCTGGTAGCGGGCCGATGAAGAGTTAACGGTACCGGCAGTCATACATTTGTAGAAATTAGTTCATGTGCACTCATTTATAATTAACAACAGCGCTAATATTCTAAAGTACCTATTCCAAATTGCCCCAGAACTAATTAAATCTCAGAACACCCCAGAGAGTCAAGTGTTATCAGCCACATTAATAAAAAAAAGCCCAGAAGAGTTGTCAGAACAGCAGACTGATAAGGGATTATACTCTGGGACTCTGCCACCGATTCATTCCAGGCTGCTAATGCAGCAGTTTAACGAACTTATTAGCCCACAATTATTCTATCAAACCTGCTGAATATGCATCCCTCTTG